AATGAATGCATTGCATTTTGTTTCCCCCTGTAATTCTTTTAGTATTTGTTTCACATATTTAGGTGCTCCTATGTTGGGTGCATGGGTATTTATAATGATTATATCCTCTTTATCATTATGTAATGTCTTTTTTTTTTTGTCTCTGGTTACTTTCTTTGTTTTGAAATCTATTTTGTCTGATACAAGTACTGCAACTCCTGTTTTTTTCTCCCTATTATTTGCACAAAATATCTTTCCGTATCCCTTCATTTTTAGTCTGTGTATGTCTTTGGGTTTGAAGTGAGTCTCTTGCAGGCAACATATAGATGGGTCTTGTTTTTTTATCCATTCTGTAACTCTATGTCTTTTGATTGATGTATTCAGTCCATTTACATTTAGGGTGATTATCAGTAGCTATATACTAATTGCCATTGCAGTCTTTAGATTCATGGCTACCAAAGGTTCAAGGGCAGCTTCCTTACTGTCTGTCTTAACTTGCTTATTATGCTATTTCAAACACAATCCAAAGGTTCTTTTTTTTCTCCCCTACTTCTTCCTCCTACACTCTTTATATGTGAGGTGTTACATTTTTTACTCTTTGTGTATACCTTGACTAACTTGGTGAGTAGTTGATTTAATTTTGTATTTGCTTAGTAATTAATTGGTCTACTTCCTTTAATGTGGTTTTATTTTCTTCGGAGACAGCTATTTAGCCTTAGGAGTGCTTCTATCTAGAGCAGTTCCTTTAAGATATACTATAGAGATGGTTTGTAGGTGGTGAGTTCCCTCAACTTTTGCTCATCTGGAAGTTGTTTAATCCCTGCTTCAAATTTAAATGATAATCTTGCCAGATAGAGTATTCTTGGAGGTCCTTCTGTTTCATTGCATTAAATATATCATGCCACTCCCTTCTGGCCTGTAAGGTTTCTGCTGAGAAGTCTGTAGATAGCCTGATGGGGTGTCCTTTATAAGTGGTCTTTTTCCTCTCTCGTTTCTTTCAATACTCCTTGTTCTTGATCTTTGCCTAAATTTTAAGTATTATATGTCTTTTTTTGCCTTCCTAGGGCTCCTTGTGTTGGAAGATCTCTGCACTTAGATCACCTGAGAGACTTATTTCCTTCCCCAGATTGGAGAATTTTTCAGCAATTATTTCCTCAAAAAGACTTTCTATTCCTTTTTCTCTCTCTTCTTCTTCTGGCACCTCTAATGCAAATATTGTTTCATTTGGATTGTTCACACAGCTTTCTTATTATTCTTTCATTCCTAGAGATCCTCCTTTCTCTCTGTGCCTCATCTTCTTTGTTTTCGTGTTCTCTAATTTCTGTTTCATTTACATTCTCCTCTACCTCATCTAATCTGCTTTTAAATCCCTCCATTGTATGTCTCATTTCAGATACTGTATTTTTCAAAGTTTCCATCTCTTTGTTGAAGACCTCCCTGAGATCTTGAATATTTTTCTGTAGCCCCATGAGGTTGTTTATGACTTTTATTTTGAAATTTATTAAGAAGATTGGTGATTTCAATTTCACCGAGTACTCTTCCTGGTGTTTTTTTTCCTGTAGTTTTGTTTAGACCAAATTCCTTTGTTGTTTCATTTATTTCCTGTTTCCTAAGGAACTTTGTGTAGGCAGCACCCTCTGGTGCCCAAGCTCTACTCTCTGGAGCTGCTAAATACCTGCAGCAATGGTGGGTGTCACAGGTGAGTGGAACCAGCACCTGCCAGGAGGAAAGAGCTCGGCTGGGAGGGTTTTCTGCCTTCCCAGCTGTAATGCCTGCTTCCACTGCCAGGTCTGGTGGGCCATGCTTGCAGGTAGGAGCCTCTGTGCTATGCTCATGGAGCTGTCGTAGGTGATGCCACCCTCCAGCTGGCCTGGCATGATGGCAGGGGCAGTGGGTTAGCAGGACTGGTGCCTGCTGGGAGGAAGGAGTGGCAGGCTATGTATCACTGTGGGGGACCTTGGGGCTGCATTGCCAGTGAAGGGTTTGAAGCATCTGAAGCTCCTGAGAATTTCCCACCTGCTGGGCTGAACTTGCCAGGATGATTTTATCTGCCTGCTCTTTCCCCTGAGCTGCAAGCTCTGTGTTATCTGTGCCCCTTTAGCACCCCTCTTGCTGTTGGGAAGTTTTTCAAAGTGCACACCAATCTTTTGTCCCGGGGGGCCAGTTTTGCATACCTGTTCTCCACAAGTGGCTGAAATCTCAGTCTCTCCGAGTATTTGCTTGTCATTGCTTTCCAACTCCATTAGTCTCCAGAGTACCATGTAATATGGGTTCATGCTCCCAGAGAAGATCTCCAAGGCTGGGTGTTCAGCAGTCCTGGGCTTCTACTCCCTCTCTTCTCCATTTCTCTTCCTCCCACTTATGGGATGGGGGTGGGGAGAGGGCTTGGGTCCTGCCAGATTCTGGCTTTGCTACTTTTACCCTTTTCTGTGAGGTCTTCTCTTTTCCCCAGAATGCAGAAGACTGTTCTGCAGTCTTCAGGTTGCTTTTTCAGGATTAGTTGTATTTGCTGTATTTTCTTCTTTTATGTGATTTTGGGAGGAGGTTTCTGCCCCTCTTCTCATGCTGCCATCTTTTTTCCATAATCCCCTTTTCCTTTCAATGCACTGAAACAGCTGAAATCTTTTATTTTCTTTCCTGCCCAGGCAGCTTCGTGATGCTAAGGAATCATGGTTTTAACTCAGCCACACTGTCAAAAGTGTGTGCATGTTTGTTTTTCAGAGCTTCTTCAAGAATTCTCTATGTGTTTTTAATAAAGGACATTTTACTTAATGAGAGAAATCATCTTTATTTTCAGATATGGTGAAATCTCAAGCTGTGTCTATGAACTAGAAAAAAGTCGATTAAAATAGTTATTTTAAAAAATTTCATTACTATATAATTAGCTTATATAACCTGTGTCTTAGCTCTTACTGTTATTATTTTATCTTTTCAAACAACCCTCTGTGGTATATAAAGCAAATATTTTTATTTGCCAGATGAATTCAGTGAGGAAAAAGTCAGAACTGATGCTTTAAGTTTACATGGAGTCCAACAGTGGAAGTTTAAGAGCTGTACCTAGGCCTGATGGTCCCAAACCCATGCTCTTTCTACTAGATTCCCCCCTGAAGTCAGGATTACCCTCATTAATAAAAAGTATTCATAATTCAACTCAGTTATTGCTTCTTTGCCATTTATTGTGCATACAGGTTATCTGACTTTTTATGGTCATTAAACAGAAACCTCCTATATACCAGAATTCTAGCATCTCCAGACTGGCAAATAGTTTACAAGTTAGTATCTGCATTTTGAAGGTCTTTCGATGAATCTTACGTTACCTTTATGTGACCAAACCTCAGGTTTCTCTAGGCATATAATATAATGCCTATTTCCCATTCCTGAATATTTTAGTTGCCAGTCAGTATTCTTTTGGTTGCAAGTCAGAAAACCAACTCAAACCCTCTTAAACAGCAAAGGGGTTGATTGGCTCATGTAAGTGGGGTTGTAGGAGTGGATCCATGAGGGGCTCAGGCCATTGTTGCCAAGTTTATTTTGCCCTTGAAAGTGTCCCACTGTCCCCCTTCCCTCCTCACTCCATCTCATTTGCAGCTTCTGGCTCTGTTAGCCCAGGGCTCTCCTACTTCAGATGCCTTCTCCTGGAAGGGTGGTGATCTTGAACCCAATAGACACTGGCTAACTGTAGCAAACAAGCTGCCTCTGCCCCCAAAGGGAGAAAATCCCACTTTTAGGTTCCATACACTAAAATGAATGAGTGAATGACTCAAAGAAGGACTTACATGAGCAACTTAGATAACATGCCCACCCTTCAGTTGAATGGTGGGGGGCAAGGTGCTCTGACTGTCAGTGCCAGCACAATGACCTGGCTCTGTAGGAAGAGTGAAGAGAATATAGTGGAAAGAGAAGGTGTGCAGATCAAAATGACAGATGACCATTATAGTTTATGGCTCTTGCCCCTAAATTACACCTTGACTTAGACAATACTATACATTTAATCTTGCCCAGACCTAAATGAGATAATTTCAAAGGCCTATGTAGGTATTTTGTGGACTGTGCCAGTAATGCTTTGTAGTAGTTATTGTTGTGTGTTTGACTGTTACTATGTAATTCTGAAGGCTGCATAGTCTAGGGATGAGCCTAGGGTTTATTCCCTAGCCCTGGCTCATATTTGGCAGTACTTCTTAAACTCATTTGCTGATGTCTTCTGAAAGCTGAGGATGGCAAATTATACAACCAGAGGCTTAGGGAGGCAAGCAAGCATCACCTTTCGAGGACTCTCATGTTTTATTTAAACATTCATCCATGTTTTGTAATATACCCTGTAATTTCCCCATTTAAGTTTGATTGAAGATAATACTTTCACAATATTATTCAACTAAATTGTTATTTCAAGATGTGCTGTGTTCCTTTGATTTTGAATAATCTAGGATCATAGTGCAGGCTAGAAAAATGGGCATTTGGAGTACTTTTTGGTTAAAATCAAGATTTTTAACATTCTGTTGCACCATGTGGAGATTTTGGACATTGGGCATTAGATGTTTCTTTGGTGTTTTGAAACTCTTGGTTAAGAGCATAGACTTGGTGCTCTGCCACTTAATTAGAGTAAATTGATCCAAGTTACTTCTCCAATCCTCAGTTTCTCATCTGAACTATGGAAATAATCATAGTGTATAACTCATAGTATTGATCATTCACAGAAAATTCCGTGGTATATGAAGAAAAATATTTAATAACTTTTAACTTCATTATTTATCTCTACTTTTTAAGTTAGGATTCCACAATTGTGTTTGCACTTTCTCTCACATGGGTGCAATTAGATCACATAGGTTCTTTAATGAGTTTCTTTAATATTATGCAGTTAACTAGAGAATATACATCTACATACACATATACATATGTGTGCATGTGAATATATGTACCATAGCACATGGACTACATCCAATGCAAATTAAAGACTTGAGGATTTTAGTGTGGAATGTGGGGGTAGTAGATTCATAATAAGTATGTTTTCTCTTTCTTCGAAGGAATTATGGCTCATCTCTCTTCGCCCAATGTGAAGCACTGGATAATGGGTGTCAGCAGGTTCTATGGCTCTATGGAGAGGATGATCAGATAACCGAGGTTGGAACTATGAATCTCTTTCTGTACTGGATAAATGAAGATGGAGGTAATCCGCCTAGATTTCAGCTCTTTGCTATTTTTCAGTCATTTTCAGTGGGACTGGGTAGAAAAGAACTAGAACAAGAGGATAAGATACACAAAGTGAGAACTACTGTGCTTTTTGCTAGTCCAGAAGAAATGAGTTTAAATTTCAGAATTTACAAAGGTTTGGCCTTTTGGCTTTGGATATACTTACTGAGGTGTCAACTTAAGGAATTTAAATCTCCATGATTTGAGGATTTGATGCTTTATCTCTTGTGCCATCTTCTTAACAGTTTTCCTATTCAAAATCCCTTGCATTTGGAGATAGGTCTCAGATCAATTCAGTGGTCATTAAGCATATATTATATGTATAAAATGCTGTAGTAATAAGCATAGTCTACTGATAAGACATTTAATTTAATGTATTCTCTTGCTATAATTCTCTCAACAACTGTTGCCCTTTCTATGTATTTTGATAATACATCAGAAGCCTTCGAGACTTACTCTGGAGCTCAATTTGATGAAAGCACACTATTTTGAAGGACAGATTAGTCTCTCTTGGAATTGTACTTAGACTCTGGTTCATTCAAGGCCATTAATATATATCTACTATAAAAATATGTACTTTATTACCTTTACTATCCTGTATGCTCATTATCTCTCTTTGCTATTTTCTCTATGAGTTGGCAGAGACCATAGGGGTTCAGTGAAGTGCTGGCAACATCTGTGGTATTAGACTAAATGGCCAGGAACCAATACTGGAGAAAAATACAGATATATACATTTATTTCCATTATAATTTTAATAGTCACAAAAATCTTAAACATTTTTAGGCTTGCTTATGTCCTTAGGCTGTTCATTTTACATTACCGAGACGAGAAATATAAAATAAGTTTCCAAATACTTATAAAGCCTAGGTATTGGTTTCCCTTTTCCTTTACTTTAAAGTAACCTACAGTAGCCTTTATTGCTCTTTTGTTAATGGGCTACAAATAGAGGGAAGTGGGGATTCAGATGTGACTACCTTCAGGGCTACATGCATCTACTTTGAGCATTAGTTGCAGCGACTGAGTAGATGAGCTTTATGTTCCAGTCAGAAGTAGAATGAACAGAAGATGTGTGAGCACACGTCGTCCTGGGGCTGGCCATTGGTAATCCTTGGCATATTAAAGGCCAAATACAGATGGTGCTCATTTTTCCATTCCTGTTGTTTGTCCTTGGTACTACTTAAGAACAAAATTTATACTGGAATATTTGATTTCTAATTTTGAGTGATGGCATATGACGTATATCGAAAGCTGTGCTTGAATGATGACAGCCAGCGTTGAACTCTGCATTTAGGAACTAATAGATGGATTCAACTCATTCTTCCCACCTGCTCACTTCAGCCCCCACAACCTCCAGTAAAAACAGTTACATCATACAGAAGTGGCCCCATCATTATTTATGGGTGGGAAATGTCAGGATTTAAGCACAGTCTGAATCAGAGCTACATGATTTAGCCAGAAACACCAGAAACTGTCCTGGTGAAAAATTACCCCTTATCCAAACAATAATCATGGACCATTTCCACCATGGCTTTTAAAGGTCAGAATAGAAATGAGTGAATTTGTCTTCTGACTCTTAGAAAACATACAAGACCTTAAGAGTTACTATTCATATTATGCTCGCCTGAGGTAGCCTTAGTTGCAATGTGAATGTGGTCCTTCAGTTTGAGGATGTTCACCTAACAGATCAAATAAAATTTGAAGCAAGGAGGAAGGAAATGGAATAAATCTGTGGACAGTACTATTTGAGAAGTCAGTAGACTGTCAGGATAACCTTTCGGCTAAAAGCAAAGGACACTGAAGCAACTCTGTGGTACCTTTGTTTTATACCCTGTGGCTTTAGGAAAATACAAGGAATAATACATTGAAAATCAGCAAAATACTGATTTTCACAAACTTTGCCCAGGGGAGGGGTAAGCAGAGATCTTTCAGCAGTAGCCTGCCGTCTTTCCATGAGCCGCCACACTCATTCTCCTTTGGACAGATGGCTGCCCCAGAACAGTAGATAGTTGCTCTTACGAAAGCATGGCGCTATGCACAAAAACTGTGTATGGCACTTGGCCTGTAACCCCTGTGGATTTTCATTCTAGTAACAGCAGTCCTGGCTGTAGGATCGCACAGTCCTGATTCTCTCTTTCACCCTGTTGACGAGTGAAACACACTTGCTACTCACTGTTGGAACAAACCATTTTACCTTGTGCTGCACACTGGAACTGCCCTGAGAGTAAGCTGGTTGTTCTGGTTGGGTTCAGGGCTCATCTGGTAGAACAATCTGGCCGTGACATTGAGGTTGTTCAGTCCACTCAGACCCCAGGAGCCTTCTCAGACATCAGGCATTTACACTGACGTGGACTGGAGCCCTTTTCCCTCAGGTGTCTGCATGGCATGCTTTTCTCAGTAAGGCTTCCCTTGAGCACCTCAATAAAAATTGCACACTTCCTTCTCCTCACCTTCCCACTTTTCTTTTTCCCCTATAGCCTGACATACTCTTGAACCTATACTGTTACCTTTGCATATTCGAAAGCAAGCAGGCATTCTGTCAGTTTTGTTCACTGCTGTATCCACAGTGCATCGATAAGCCAACTGCACATGGGAGGCACTCAAATAGGTATTTGTTGAATAAGTAATAATCATGACAGTGGGGTTTAGGGCACTTATGCAAACCCACCTTCCTGGTTCCTAAGACTGCTTGACTTGGGGATGTCGCAGATGAATCCTGCTGTTATGCTTCTGAATTCTTCATCTCCTAAAACTGATCTCTCTGTCAAAAACAAGTTGCATTTGTAGGCTGTTTCCCTCATGTTGGGCAATCTGGAGCCAGTTCTGGCTCTTCTAAGTATGTTTGTGGTTGCAGAGGAAAATGAATATTTCTCACCCAAATGTTGTCATGTCATCATCTCTGTCTGGCAACCAAAGAAGCAGATGTTCTGTTCCTTGACCTCAGGCTAGTGGTTGCAGTGTTGGGTGTTAAATATATTTCACAAAACTGCACTTGCACATGCGGAGCTGCTGTTTTTATTTAACTTCATGTCGTCTTAGTTTCAGCAGCCATAGGCAAAGTCCAGTTGGGGGGCACTTGAAGTATGCTTGTCTGTATGTTGGTGTGCGTGTGCATATGCACACCATGCATAAAGATCCGTACATTTCTGTATCCAGCTAGCTAGCTATTGCAAAACACAGGTTTATTTTGAGATCAACACTTCTAAGCATGATAAAAAGTAGCCCTAACAACATTGCCAAGAACAAATTTTCTTCTTTCCGGAAAGCGGTTTTCAGCAGATGATTTGTAGAAACAAAATTCCAAAAAACTATACTGCTATATCCCAGCAAAGAGGATTATTCATTTATTTTTTCAATTCAGAAGCACTTAATACATTACCATTCTGGGCAGGGCATGATGCTGTGTTTTGAGAACACAGGAGTAAATACGGAGTTTTGGTCTTCCATACAGTTTGGTTGCTGCGGTGTTTGATGTAACGCCCATGGAGCAGGTGAGCCCAGGCCATAGAATACTAAGGGGAAGGGTAGGGGCCCCAGTGTTAGGACACTTCAGCTTAGGTCCTGACTGTCCCCCGGTGTCACCAATCTTGTTAGTCACTTATCTTTATAGGGCCTCAGTTTCTTCTGTAAACTGAAGATTGCACTAGGTGACTTCTGAAGTCCTTTGTAGCTGCAGAAGATGGCTTGGGGGAGCTCAAAGACACCAGTGTGATTTCCACACAGCTTTTGTTACCTGGCGATCCTTTCAAGCACACCTTGCTAATTCATCTGCAAATACAAGAATGGGCAATACATCATCTGTTATAGGGTTCAACATCTTTCGAAAGTGAGGACTTAAGGTTTGAGTTTCTCCCTAGATTTAGATTCTTGGGTGCCAAAGGTGGGGAGAGAAGGGGACGTTGAGTAGCAGAGATGTTGAGTAGCAGAGATGTCCGTAAGGAGTGCTGACGTGGTTGACGGAGCACGCTGACACTAGGAGTCGGATCATCACGCCAGCCCCCAGCTAGGTAGGTCTCTTAACAGACCAGGGTCTCTAGTGGCTGGGTTTAGTCACCTATGGAGTTTTGGTTTTTGTATTTCTTTTTCTCATCCTCCTTTCTTTTTCCTGTTCGCCACATACATGCTCGAGTCCATCCTGAATCCATTACATTGGAATATCGGAGGGTAAAGCCGGCGTTTCCATATCTATTTGAGTGGATACTCTGCCAGATTTTAGATTAGTGTAGACAGGCTGAGGGCACATACACTTGTGGGGTGGGTCCCTCGGGAGCACTCTTTTTCTCTTTCCTTTTTTAAAATAAAGATCTATCTAACGTGTGAAATAGTTTAGAAATAGAACAATGCCATCATCCTCATGTTTATTATTAGCCAACTTTTGAGACATGTTTCTTTCTAATTGCTTTTGATAGAAGGCATAGCTAATGTAGCTGAGATTTGAAAATATTCCTATTTCTAATTGACAGAAGAAGAACTGGCAACTCCTCCGCTAGATGGCATCATTCTTCCAGGAGTGACGAGGCAGAGCATTCTGGACCTGGCAGACAAGTGGGTGGGTACCTTTGACATGAATTGCTTTTAGAAGCCTGAAACAAAAACCAATCACAATAAGCCCGTTAGTGCTGAAATAATATTCTGTATAACCAATGCTATCTAATCTTTAAAAATTAACTTGAATGCAAAGAAGTCTTCTAGAAAGACTGTCTTGGCAACACTATCAAATGAGTATTGTTTATGGGGAGGGCAGACAGAAACCAGTTTGGTGAGTTCTTCCTGAAGAAATCTTCTAGCGCTAGTCTCAGGCTCTGTGACCAGGTGTCTCCTACCAACTCACCTGGCGTATACTTTGCGTGCTTGCACTTAGCCAGTCTGTGGCTTTGCAAGCCTAAGTGCCCTGCTTCCAAATGGCAGTGATTCATAGTTCTTCCCTTCCTCTGTTTGTTCCAGCGTATCCATGCTCATCATAGAAATTAAAAAATCTTACTGGCCTATAAATGTTTACTAACATTAACTATTAGTTTGGCTACTTTCTTCTTCCTTCCTGCCCTTTATCCTCCCAAACTCACATACATACAAGCTGATGTTAAAATCAAAACACCCAAGCAAACGTAAAGTTGTTTTCTGTAGACTTTCCAGCCCATGTGCCTCAGCAAGCATGTTAAATCGTTTGGTATTAGACATGACACTATATGTAACATACCCAAGATAAATACGGAATGAATTTGTTACCTGGCCAAGATTCCCGGGTGGAACTTTTGACCCCTGTGTGATAATAATCTTCAGGGGACATAGAAAAGCTTTGAGCATACTGTGGTCAAACAGTGCTAATAGGACAAATGTTTAGAAACACACACATTACCTAGGAGAGAACTAGCACAGTCTCTCTGGAAAAGGCTTGGAAATACAGGAAACGTGCTATAAATAATTCTATAAATCCCTGAAGTAGACAAGACCCAACTGCCACATGCTGGCTGGCACATTGGGCATGACATTTACAAACTGTTGGTATAATTTCAAACAGCTTGCCCTGTCCTAAATATGTTTGCAGTTGGAAAGATGTATTTTCAAAGCTCAGTAATTTTTGTTTTATTAGAGAAAAAAATCAACCAAGTACAGAAGGTTTGATGACAAGTTGCAAGTGGAAATGCTTTTCCCACACTAACAATCTACGAGCATGAAAAATAGGTTATTATGGAGGAAGTTTTTCTTGACTCCTTAGCTGTAATTTATTCTAAAAGCTATTTTGAAACAGTGAGACATAATTGCCAAGAGGCATGTGGGGGGTTACCATTACTTGCCAAACAGGGGAAATTGTCCAAAGATAAGTAAGGGTGAACAGAATAAAAACAATTCTGTTTATTTACAAGAGATTTTTTTTTTCTTTTCCAGAACTTAGAGCTCAGTTTGTTTTCGGTTAATTTGGCTGGTTTTCTGGAATTTATTTATTTATTTACCCCTGAGCAACATAACTGTAAAATTGCCAACTGAGATAAATTGAAACTTGCAAAAAGCCATATTTCTATTGTAGGCGTATTTTCGTGCCCTTCCAAATATACTATAGCATGATACAGTCTTCATCGAAATGTTTTGAATCTTGTCAAGGTCTCTGATTTCCATTTTTACCTATGGTGGATTTATAGGTTTTAAAAAATAATCTCATTTAAAAAAAACCTATCCATTCTTTGTTGCTTGTAATTTAAATAGCCTGTTGACAAACTTTGCACTTTAACCGCTAACATGAAAGAATGAGGATTAAACAGATTAAACAATGCATATGAAACAGCTTAAGAGCATCAGCATGTTTTCCTGTTTCCTATCCTTGAGCAAATAAAATGTCCAAATAGTTCAGTGTAAGTCACTGAGGTTACACCAATAATTCTATGATGAAACTCAGCCTAATATATTAAAGATAAGGAAGAGAGGAAGAGGATTACTGCTGTAAAGTCAAGAGAATCAGTGAATTTAGAAAGAAATATATATATATATTTACATGTGTCTACACATATATTCATATATGTATAATAAATATATATATAATATATATAATAAATATATACTTATATGGGTGTGCATACACACACACGTACTGTAATTTTTTAGATATACTTTCCTATATATGCTTTCCTACATATATACACTTTCAGTTTTAAAATAATGAATTATTTCAAATAGTTAAACTCAGCCTAAGTTTTTACTCTGTAAAAGACACTGTAGAATGCAGTCATATCAGGCCAGAGTTCAAATCCAGTTTGTGCCATTTACTAGCTGTGTGGCCTTAGGGCTGTCACTCATCTGCCTGGAACCTTAATCTCCTCATCTGTAAAATGAGGGTGATAGACCCACCTTACAGATAGAGAACTTGGCATGCAAAGGGTGCTCAATGAATAGTAGCCAAAAGTATTAATATTATGTAGTAATATATTTTATGATAAATATGTGTTAAGACTGTTAATGTAGAACACACATTAAAAGTAGCACTCAAGGTACATCAACTTGTGAGACTTTAGCCATGTCAACAAATAAAAGGCAAAAAAACACAGGCGTGTATTAAAATATATGTGTTTTATCATGACAGCCTTGTATTTTAAATTCCACCCATCTCACTGAGAGATGCTGTGACCTTGGAGGAGGTTGCTTGACCCCTCAGTGCGCTTGCCAGTAGGGTGATGTGGTCCCTCCAGCTTTCCCGCGAAGGAAGGGTGGTTTATGGCCTCATCTGAGTTCAATCTGAGCCTAAAGTAGGAGAATACATACTGTAGGGCTGATTCTGCTTTGCCTTTTCCTTGCAAATACACATCTCTACTTTTTAACCTTCCAAATAGGGTGAATTTAAGGTGTCGGAGAGGTACCTCACCATGGATGACTTGACAGCAGCCGTGGAGGGGAACCGAGTGAGGGAGATGTTTGGCTCCGGGACGGCCTGCGTTGTGTGCCCCGTTTCTGATATTGTGTACAAGGGCGAGGTAAGACAGTGCTTCTGCGCTGCCTGTCAGTCAAGCATCTGCAGCTTGGCATTCCATTGACTGGGGCAGCCCGTCCCCAGCAACTGGGGTTAGCAAATTACTTCCTCTCATCTTCCCAGTAATTTTGTGCTGGCTCTGATGTGGTAGGAAGTCATTTGTGTCCTTGGACAACGATCCTATCTGCCTTGTGTCAGTTTTGGGATTGGAGATGTGCAAGTAGACTTCTTCTCTTACTTCTTTCTACCAGCTCACTAAGGAAGTAGGTAGATTTCAGTGACTAGTTTCCAAAAGTACTTCCAGAATCCTGGAGTAGGAATGGAAAATAAATTTGAATGCTCATCTCCTACTATGATTATTATTGTTACTATTATTTTTATTGCTGCTGCTGCTATTATTATTATTTAGACAGCTTTACAGAAAACTTCACTTGGCAAACCTGGTGTATTTACCAAAATCTTCCAAAAGGAATTCAAGGAATTGGTTGGAAGAAATTTTCTTCTCCCAGTAAATAGTCTCATTTTATATATGCTGTACTTCCATTTTTCTTTTGCTCAGTTTTTTTCCCCTTTATAATAAAGCACCGATACTTGTGATTAACATCATTTTCTAACTTTATAACTTAAAGGTAAGTGTGTGGGTATTATTCTTAAAATGTGAATTAGCTTAAATTATTAGTTTAATATAAATTCTGTTGGTTTCTAAATTCACCATTATAGTTATTTTCCTCAGCTGGTTGGGTTGATTTTTTTTCTGCTGGTTTTAATAGGTGGCAGCCTTATTGCTTGAGATTTTCAAACTTCATTTTTAAGAATGGCTTCTGCATAACTCCATCTACAGGTTGATTGTTTAAAGGGAGAAAAATTATTCTATTATATATCAATACATGAACTGATTATAAAACTACTGTCTCCCACTTTATTGTGGTAGTATTTAGGTAAATGCCCCCTGTCCTCCCAAATTAGTCCACTTTTTTGATGAACTGAAGTCATTAGGTGAGATTTTTTTTTCAGTCCCAGTATTATTTCACTGCTAGAAATAAAATGTTTATAAAGTTTAATGTCTTTTTAATGGTGTTGTTTCCAGGAGGTGTTCAGAACCAAAGGTACATCTAATCCTATTGCAGTCCTAATATATCTTGTCTTATTTTTCTAAAGGGCATATGAAGAAAAGTGATAGCATGGACTATCTACTGAAATCAAACTATCAAAAGCCTGCAGGCCAATAAGGCCTGAATGGGCATGACTCAGATATAAATTCGGGGCGTGAAATCTCTCAGCCCTCAGTTTAATCATGCAGCCCAATGTGGAGGTCACGGCCCCTGGAGGTTTGGCTTAGAATGGCCATAGGTTTTGAAGCCTCTTCTGTAAAGGCATAGATTTGCTTTAATTTATGTCCCTGAAGTGACTTGCTCTAGTTTGTGGCCAAGTGTCTTGGAGCTCTCATTTCCTGCTAAGAAGGTTAGATTAGATGGGGAGGCCAGTCATTCATCCTGGTAGAGTCTCCTAGAAGAGATAGGATTCTTTAAGTTTAGCTGTTATTTTGTAGGTACCCCTTGCTTCTCCTTGGTTCCTTAAATCAGCCTGAGGACTGGCACATGAACCAGTCATGCCTTAAAGTCAGTTGGTAGGCCATGAAAACAATCTACTGTCGGCTAATTTGTTCTTATTCAAATTCAGGATAGAAAAGAGCCTCTGGCATGAGAAGCTACCTAATCAGGTTATAGTGCCATTTCACATTTCAGCAGAAGTGCCTTAATGCAGTAGAACCTCTGAGTGTCTTACCTGTCACTGTACATGGGAATATCCTTAAATTATCTCATGTCTGGTTTTTCTCATAGACTATACACATTCCAACTATGGAGAATGGCCCTAAGCTTGCGAGCCGGATCTTGGGCAAATTGACTGACATTCAGGTAAGGGCGTCTTTCTTCTAAAATGCCATCTTATTTCAATCAGAGTTTAAAAACAAGTCATATTTCAATAGAGAGAAGAGAGCAAATATTGCCATTTGGAGCTAACAAATTTAATTTAAAGATGTTCGTGATAGTACGTGTGGGCATGAGCAAAGAAAAAATGGAAAAGAAGATACACATTTAAAAAAAGAAAAAGAAAATATTGTCAGGGACTCCAAATAATAAGATAAATAACATTTTATATAAATATAAATCTTAATAACATTTAAAAATCTCATTAAAAAGTATAACAGTTTTGTAAAAAGAAAAATTGAAAGTAGGAGACAGCACAGAAGAAAACTAATAGTGTCTGTGATTCTAACACTGAAATATAACCACAGTTCATTTTTAATATCTCAACTTCCAATATTTTATAAGTACTTATATACTTTTAGATATTTTTTTCTAACAAAAATTTTCATACATAATTTGGTTATATGTTTTTTTACACTTAATAAATCATTTGCTTTTTCATATCGATTTTCTCAATTCCATGTATAAAGTTTGAGTTGCATTATATGCATGTACCACCATTTTTAGGGAAATCTTATTATTGAACATTATGTTACCAACTTTTTCCCTATTAGGAACAGTGTATCCTCGATTATTTCCCTAGAATAAATTTAGGGGTTTATAATTGTTGGGTCAAAGAGGGTGCACACCTACTTTTTTATATGGCTAAACTTGTTTTGCCTATTTTTTCTGAGCAACAATCTACAGTAATATCTCATTAGGCAGTTAAGCATAGTTTTAGGCAGGCATATCATACCAGGTAATGCCAGGTAACCTATAAAAGAAACTATTCTGTAATTTGAAAGTGCTTCACAAGTTGGAGGATTTTGTTGAGTCCAGGTACCACCATTACTAGTCAGTGAAAATATTCAAGGGAGCTGAGATTCATATTGAAACATGAAATAAAGTTTGACAGTTTGGGTGACATCAGATGGTGCTAGGTCTTAAAACTTAGCAACAATTTAAAGTTGGTTGGGAAAACAACAAGCCCTTATAGAGTAGTTGAGGCCCTTGGATAGCGATAAAAATTGTAGTTTTTGAAGACTTACTCAGTAACTTTTATGCAAGATTAACAATATTAAAAGGAAAGAATGTGGTTTTTGAATAAATGGCTTCCACTCTTAATGAAGGCTTTTTGTAGGCATTTTATTTATGCTAAATAAAGGAATATCTTAATATTGGAAGACAGAATTTATTTGAGGTGCTTTCTATTTATGTACACAGAAATGATTAAAATTGGAAGAAATTTATTAAAACTTTCTACATGAATGTTTTGATTATTTAAATTTTTTATTGTTGCCTGAGTAAATCTGATGAAGATAAATAAATTTTAGTGTTTTGCTCAAATAAAGAACATAAATAAACAAAATATATAATTGACTAGATTCTGAAGGACTTTATCTGAAACAAAAATGAAAGATTTTTTAAGAATGGTAGAAGTGTGGGGATAGTGGGTGGTAAGGAAAGAAGATCTCTTTGGAAAATTAAAAAAAAATAGTATGGAAGCGCATGTTTAAAATATAAGAGATTTCAGAATTGCCTCCTGGAGATTATATGAAATAAGAAAATTTACGTTTATCTGGTTGAAAAGGACTAAAAGAAAAGGAAAAATAGTCAATTGGGTTGAGGGAAAAATCAAACTCTATTAAATTGGAATTGGGAAGAGACATCTAAGTAGACATATTAAATCAACATACTCAGGAAGCTTTGGCTAAGGGAGACAAAAGCAGAAATGTATGTCATCCCCATTGAGTTGGCAATAAAAACTATGCATCAGACCCTAAAGTATGAGTAAAAGAGAAGCCCAAAGACAATTTTTGGGCAAAAAAAGAAGCTATTACAAAAGTTCTCAGAAAGAACATTTTGAAAGTAAGATTGTGGAAACCCAAAATGTAGATGAATGAAGTGACTTTTTAATTCATTCATTCAAGAAAATACACTTATTGGACAACTGTGCAAAAGGCCATTCTAGGTGTGGGTGACATAATAACAAAAAAAGGACAAAAAATTAGAAAAGCCAAAACACACTGATACACAGGAAGAAGGACAAAACATTCAATTTAAATGCAAGATCACATGAAAACATTTAGAAGTAAAAGATACATATGAAGCCAAGATGTAACATTTTGCTCTTACTTGTATATATTCTCAATATAATATAGTGCCTATAGCTAAGAAGAAGTTAGCAATTTCTCTTTTACCCTAGATATTAAAGTATAATGGTAGTTAACACTAAAAGCCAGTGATTCATTCAGAGTTCCATATGGAAGAACAAAACAAAGAGATACAGTCACAGGATATGTGAGATAAAACAATGATTCTGAATTAAACCACAAACCAGAAGCACCGACTCTGCTCCGGATTATTAAGTAACAAAGGACCTTACATTAAGACCACATCTTTCTTCTTCAATTATTTTATGCCCATGGGGATGGAACCCAAAATTTCAAAACCCTTCTTATAGGATGGCAAATTGGTGCTGTCAGCAAGCACAAGGTTGTCTCTTTCTCTCCAAAATAAAAATCATTCGAGTAATTAATGAGGAAAAAGCATAGGATTGCATCATGCTTTGCATTTGCTCTCTCTGACATGACTTGGAAACATTACATAGGAAACCAGTATTTCCTACGAAGTGCTCTGAGGAATTGAATAAGAGCAACAACACCCCAAACCCCTCAAGATTCTTGATTGTGACCTGGGGAAAATTCCTTCTTAGCCACACACTTGCTTTTCATTTAACTAGTGTACTTGCATATACGAGTAAGAATCTCTGAGGTCAAGTATTTATCCTAGGTCTTAGATTGTCCTACAAATACCTCTTAGGAGGGGAACATTTCAAACGGCAGTTTTTCCTTTTCTTTTTTTTTTTTTAATGCAAAGAAGCAAACGACCTCTGTGTTCATACTCAACCAAATTTAAACTTGGAGAACATTAGCCATGCCTCTCAGCCCTCTTTTTCCTCCCATTACTCTTTCCTATTCCAGTTACTCACCAGCCTCCTCACCTCCGCCCCTGCCATTTGGGGTCTTCTCTGTTCTGTATGCTCTGCTCTCTGCGGCTTCCTTCCTGCCTTTTTGCACGTTCTACAATTTGCCTGCTTGGTAAGGTCTTGGTTGTCCTTTAAGTCACATCTCCTTCAGGAACCTTTGAATCTGTCTTGAACATCTCTTTCCTGCATACACTCATACATTCACCCACTTAAATGCCACCTCTTCCTCCAGCTTCCATAGCTCCTGGGGTTAAATTATATTCTAACTAGTCATGCCCTTGTCTTTGTTCTGAGGCTGTTTGACTGTGGGAATTGTTTTATTCTCTTTTTTGTAACCAGGGCCTGGACTTTAGTTCATACTCAGTAATGTTTCTTGGATAAATAAATAAAGGAATGAATGGGTGAGTGATACACCAAGCCAATGCAAAAGAGCAAAAAACATGTTGCTTTTGAATATTAACACATTGTAAGAAGAGGTGGGAGGAAGGTCTTGAATAATGTCAAATTATTTTTCAAAACACCCTACACAGCACCTGATTTAGATTTTTTCAAAGTGAGAAAACAGACATCGAGACTGCTGTCAGGATCAGATAAAAGCTAGAACCTACGACTTAAATATGAGGGCTAGCAAGTTCAGTGACTTGCAGTGCTGCTGTTGAGGTGTCAGAGAGTGGGAAGTGGTGATTATAGAGACGGGAGAGGTAAACCTCTTAAACAGTTGAGGGAAAGGAAAGCCCCAGTCGGACAGGAGCAGGGTCTGCATTGATTGCAGGTCACCACATAGAATTAAACATCTCTTTTCCTATTAATGGCTACAGCTTTGTAAGAACAAATGATCATTAGTGGTTATTGTACTTTTCTTCTGCTCACTGGAACAGCTTGAAGACTTTTAGTTACATAAGAAGTTAAAGAGTCCCTCCCCTTTTTCCTGCCCATGTCCCAAACTATCCTTCTGTTTGTGTGCATGCTAAGGGAACATTTCCCAGACTGCCTTGATGACTCAGTTCCTTGGCCAGCTTGCCAGCCCTTCCATGTTCCCTAGGACACACCTCTCTGCATGTTATGTATGGGATTACCAAGTTTTGCATGGCCATTGAATAATAGGATTTAGAACAAGAATTGAAAGCTTTTTACCTGGTGTGCAGCACTGAATATATTTTTATTGGCAATGTGGGGAGTATGCGTGATAATGCAGATAGTCCTTTTATGTGCTAAGAATTGTCTGCTGAACGTAGGAGGTATTTTAGTAAAGGCCATGTAAAATCATGTACCGTATGTACGCTGAATGTGAAGTAATGAACTTGTTATTTGTCATGTCCTGGTTTAGTGTTCTAACTAGAATCCATGAAAAGATGAAAATTTAGCACATCACACTGATTGTCTTCTACAAGGGTTCCTAGTACCTTCCTATGGGTTCAGTCTGATTTGCTCTGTTACTTGAACCTCGTCTTTGATTCCAGTGAACAAAACCAAGTGTCACTTAGAAGCAGGCCTGCCAAACGATGGGGTGGGCCCGCTGCTGTGGCTTTGTAATGACCTGATGATGGTGCACTGCAGCCTAGCTCTTGGGATATGTTCTTGCCCCTCCTTCTCTGGACACATACTCTCGAGAAAAGAATATAATTTCTGTCTCTGCTAAAATCTGTCATTTCTCCTTTGAATTACTTTGCAAAAATTAAATGGAATTATCCATCATCCAAACGAAAAGTTTGATTGCTAATTGTCAAGATCTAGTTTCTATGAATTGCCTGTAGTCCATCTCTGAAATACGTCTCCGAGTGTTATGATTTTACATAAGAGCATAAATTGAAGGATGTAAGGAGAAAACCTTAATACATCTCATGCGGGTTCATAGAGTGATGTGGCCTGTGACTGTCAGTGTAACCAAAATTGAATTTTGACTATTTATAAAACTAAAGTAATTGAAAATATATTTACTTTGACCGAAGCGACTCAAGATGAAATTGTAGTGAAACAGTTGTAGAAGAAACAGTTCTTCTGCGGATCTGCTAAAATGTCAAAATGCTGACATACGAATGTTATTGATGGCAAAAGCATCTAGTGTTTTAATGGGAATCCAGATAAGAGAAATAAAACACATATTTTGTTCTCACCTTAAGTCATGTGGACAAAAAAAAAAAATCAGGCAGGATTTGGGCACGTTTCCTCCAGCCATTCCCGTGACTTGTAGTTAAGTAGTGGGAGGCCACATTCTTTAGGCAACCCTTTCTCGTGTGGGTTGAGCAAGTCACATGTAGTCCTGGGCTCCCTTCACTTCATTCATGACATCCTCTTCATGTAAGCTGGAAGGCGGTAGGTAGACCTGCTCTTGGCCTCTACTCCTTTTACCAGTTTGATAGATTCTGCTCTCTGAGGTCTGTAAAGCTATTGAAGAGAAACACAGCACATGGACCATGTGACACAGGAGAAGTAGCGTCGGGCAGAGACAGGAGAACTAGGCTTGTAAGAGTTTTCCTAGAGCCTTAGTGTATTTATCTGTAAAACAAGAAGCTTTAGGTAAAAGTTCATTGCTCTTCGTACTTGATTTTTAACCAGCAAAACTTTCTACAAAAGAGACATCTTTCCCTGGAATCCCAATAGATAAAACTGGTGTAAGTGGAATTGTCCCGAACTGAAGTCCAAATCCCCACTAATTTGGCTCATCCCCTATATTTTCAGATGATCATTAAGATTCTTTTCCATTTTAGAAATTCTGGTGTTTTGTATTAATTTCAACTGAAGTTACATTAGGGCTAAAAGAGCCAATTTATATGAAAAGGGGCCATGGTCTGAGTGCTGTAGCAAACACATAGTGGCTGACTTAATGGCACGCTTCACAGGCAGGGAAGATCTGTTCCCAGTCAGTCTTCACACACATGGCAGTGTGCACGTGTGGAGGGAGATCTAGGTGGTGGTCAAGAATGTGGAATTTGATGTGAGAGACACCTGGGCTAGAGTCTGTCCTCTACCATTTACTAATTACAACCTTAAGTAAGTTGTTTAATTTCCCTAATACTCAGTTTTCCCACCCTTAAAATGGGATTGATAATGGTACCTGCTATCTGGTTAATCTGAGGATAGATGAGGTGATAATTCTGTAAAGTTCTTGGCATGCAGTGCCATTAGCTCATCAGCATGTAGTTCTTGCTCAGAGCAAGAGCTCATTTAAGCACAGAGATGTTTGCTGAATGAATGAACGAATGAGAGAATATCTGAGTATAAACTAGCTTTCTATTTCTGACATTCGGGATATCTTTGTTTCCTTTAATTTTTAAAATTTTAAAATTCAGGTTTAAAAAAGCAAAGTATTTGCTGAAGTAAATAATGAAATTCTGATCAAGATGCATGCAGTTCCATAACTGGAAGAAATAAGAAAAATTGGGATGCTGATTTTTCACAAACTTCCATTTAGAGAACAAAGTCAGTGTTCAATCCACGTGGCTTATTAGTGTAGTATTTTTATTTATGAACATAAAATGCTCTTGAGAAGGGGGCATTTTAGAGCAGCAATTCTCAAACTTGGCTCTAATTACCTGGAAGCGCTTTCTGGGACCCTCCCCAGAGATTCTGATTGAGTCAAATCTGAGGTGGGGCTTGATAATTTGCTTTGCTGACACATTGCCAATGATGCTGGTGCCCCTCGTCTGGGGAGTAAGCTTTGAATGTCACTCCTTTAGAGTAAACATGACAGTAGTTACATACTTTAACTGAGTTACTTCATTTGGACAGCGGACACTGACAACAGAATGGAAATGACACGACATGTACTTAAATATGTAAAAGACCTACTCTAGGTACAAGTTGGAGTTCAACCATAACTACAAAATTTGTGATTCCTTCCCAGGATTTGTTTCTTTCTAATCGTATTTTTTAATCTGAATGCATTTTAATGTTCAACACAGAAGCAAATGTTCGTGCAATGCTGTATTATTAAATTTATTTATAAGCTTTTCCTGCACTGTTAGCTTTTACAATGAAATGTGTTTTCTTGCTTTTATTGTAGTATGGAAGAGAAGAGAGCAACTGGACAATCATAGTATCCTGAATGGAAAACACAGGAGATCATCAGTGTGCTGTTGGGACAGACTGTTGCATTTGAATTATAATGGGTTTCTTTGGCTCTCTGTTTTTAGGTGTGCATATTTGTTCTGTCAGTGTTACCAAGTTGATTGCTTCCTCATGCCAGAGGAAATGAATTGTAACCATCAAAGGGTGTTCTGTAGACTTTGTAGTAGAAACTTACCTTACCTTCTCTTAGAAAGATGGCAACATAAGCCATACAGTATAGACTTCTCCTCGGTGATCTTAGTGCCTCTCTTAGTACTTTACTCAGATACAAAAATGTTTATTTTTCAGCATAAGTTATGTTGTGTTCCTCAACCGAGTGTTTTTGTATTTGAAAGCTCTGTAATTGTGGGTAGCATTTCCTGTGACACATACTCATTCTTAGAAAGTGTTTTGATTTCTTTAAAATCAGACTGAAAAACTGGATTTCCTGTCATCGCCTTTTATTGCAGGCCCCCCAAGTACATCTTAAGGTAAATCTCTCCCTTCTTTCCAAGGTCGCAGTCCACTCCACGCCCTCCTTCTGCATCAGCAAGACCCGTGCATGTTTCCACCATTGCCCTTTGCACATGGTATTGTAATTGGCTGTTGGTGAGCCTCCAGTAGAAGATCAAGGGTCTGTGCCTTAGAGATCTTTTTATCCCCCTGACTGGCACATCATAGGTACTCAGTAAATAATGAGTGGATGAACATTTAGCTTCTGTAGAACTGTACCTTCTTTGTTTCTATCTTACGAGAGACCTCTTTATTAGAATTTGGGAGTGATTCTGACATTGTGTATATTTACCTCATCCTGTCCTCATTTTCCATGGACTGCTAAGCCATTCGAGGTACTCAAAGGCATAGTTAGAGGAATTATTTCATATTTGAAGACTGTGTTGAAATTGAAGTAATAGTTCTGGAGAGGTAGTGATATCATAAACCAAATGGAAATGACATGGCAAGTGTTAAATAGAAAATAAATCATCTTTAGTTTTTTGGTAGAAAGCAGAGAAGTAGACTCTGGTTTGTAGGTGTTCATTTCTGTTGAACAGAGAATGGATGGATGAGCACGTGTGGCTAGGGTACAGGGAGAGCCGTTACAGATGATGTTTTCCTCATTTAGGAGCTGTGAGTTAAAATTGCATTCTGGTTTATCTAGGGGAAAGTCAAATCTTGATAGAGAACATTTACCCTTGGAAGGTCAACTCTCAGACATTATATTTTGATGTCCTTCAGCCCGACTAACTTTCATCTTGCTGATCATATTTCATTCTCTTTTCAGAGCAAGGAAAAAAAAGTATTAAAAGTTTGATGTGTTGGAAAAACTTCCTTAAGGCATTTAGCAGCACATAGCAAATGGAGCTTTGATTCTCTTCCAAGACTTTTGGCCACAGAGTCTTTTCAGATAGGAATGGCAAAATGAAAATTAGGGAAGTAGAAGATGAAAAGGAATGGTTAAAAGTATCTTTTAGGGGGCTTTTAGTTGGCGATCTGAAGCCTTGGGAGAATCTGTTCTTTTCAGGCCTCGGGGGCTTTAGCTGTCTTCTACACTCTCATTCATTAAGTAGCCATGGTAGGGGTAGGTGTTTGCTGTGTCTAAGTCCTGTGACCTCATTTTTAATATAATTCTAGAAAAGACCTATAGGTAGTTCTAACCTCTCAAGTAGCACATAATAAAGTTCATTTTATACTTTGCATCTTTAAATTTAGTACGGCAAGGCATGTTGTAAAAGTTTAAGAACAAAATATCTTGACGTTATGTGTGTATGATTTCTTTCATCAAACCTGAAGAGCATCATAAGCCCTTTCTACCAGATTTAGTGAAGACTAAGCATATACGTTTTAAAAAACACAATCTGCCGTTCTCGGTTAAGTAATAAGACAGGAAGGAAATTGACCTTGACGTTAACTTGTTAAATAGATTTAAAAGGAACATCTGCACATCTTTTTTCTTGTGCACTATTTGTTTAATTGCAGTGGATTAATACAGCAAGAGCAGCACATTATAACTAGGCAATTATCCATTCTTCAAGACTCAGTTATCGTAACACTAATTGATCATTTAAGGCGTAAGATAGTCTAGCATTAGGAACATGTGAGGCTAATCTGCTCAAAAAGATCAACAAATTAATATTGTTGCTGATATTTGCATAATTGGCTGCAATTATTTAATGTTTAATTGGGTTGATCAAATGAGATTCAGCAATTCACATGTGCATGAATATAAACAGAATTGGTGGCACTTAAAATGATAATGATTAACTTATTTTGCGTGTTCTGTTCCTCCCACTTTTTTTCAGTTTTTACATTTCAGACCAAGTTTGTCAGCTTTTTCCAAAACACATCAGTAGAAACCAACGTTTTTAAATGAAGTGTTCAGGCATAGATAAAACCTGAGCATTTCCTGAAGATATTTACTGTTAAAAATTTTCTTTGTCACCATCATGTATTAAGGATCCGACTCACGGTATACCAAAGGGAGAATCCACTTCAGGGATGCGTACTGTGCTGTGGTACCTGCAGTTGCTGGGAATGAATAAACTAGTAATACCTGTTTCCACATTTGCTTTCAGAAATACAAAGGGAAAGTCAAAGAGAAAGAGAAATGACTGAGAAATCTTATTAGGGAATCATGTCTGTCTTCTACCTGGTGAACATCTTCTATTCTTTCCTCAAAAGATTGTCGTAAGAAAAATAAAGATCAGAGGTAACAGCAAGAAAGCACAGCATGACATCAACTATATGACATGCAATGTCAGAGTCCTGAAGATACGGGAAACAGACTATATTATCCATTATTCTTTGGTTAGAATTTTTTGTCAGACCAGTTTTGTTGCTTGATATACTGGTACCTACATAAGCGATCTAAACTTCCCTTCAGTCAGAGCACTTTTGGGCACTGAAGGCAAAAAAATCAGTTTATCTTGGTCAAAAGAACTGTAGCCTTTTATTAAAGCTGCAGTTTCAGCTCTGCTTTAGGGGGGTCTGTGCTATAAAATCAGCTGCCAAAATAAGCTTATTTATTTTCACCATTTCCTCTCAGCACTCAATCACTATATTCTTTTCCTTAAAAAGTTTCTTTTTAAAATGATGTTTAGTTTACCCTTATGGTAGGGAAAATACATTTTAAGCAAGACAACATTTATTCACTTTCAGGGAATGATATTTTCTAAAACAAGTACAGCAATAAATACTCAGTGGTTGCCCTGAAGCAAAGGGCTTAGGCAGGGTTTAGAGTTATTGTAAAGATCCCCTATTTTGAGTCCTGTCTCTCTATATGATCAAAGAATTCTTCCTTGTGATGTGAGTTTCTTCATACGTGGATATGCAAAAACTTAAGTTATAAATAGTAATGTTGGCAAGTAGTTTCAGTGGGTACTCTATAACACCTGTCACTTTGTTTTGCCACAAGTAGGGTTTGTTCAGCTGTTTTCCAAGTATCTCCCCCCACACGGAGGCAAAGAGTTCCAGCTCTTCAACAAGCATGACCTGTTAATTGACAAAGATCAAGGAGATGATAGTTCCTTTGATACATGTTGATTGAGTACCCACCAATGTATACCTAACACAACTAGTGGTATTGATATAGGGATTGGGAAGTCCATTTTAGAAAAGGAGTATATAAGCATTACCCTCATGGAGTTTATACTCTACTACTTGAACTTATTTTTTAGATATAAAAATAGTATTTAACACACCTAGATAAGAAGACAAAGAGCATATCCCTCACTAAGAAATCACTGTGAACATTTTCATTTCATTTTTAAAGGAAATTGGTCCTTTTTTTCCATTCCTTTCCTACAGTGTGAAAATGCTCAGTAGGATTAGTAGTGAGGGGTTATTCAGCCATTGAATAGAGCTGTGGATTACCTCCTGTTTCACTGCTTACCACCAACCTAACACATTTGTTAACTGCATTCTTTTGGAGCGATGTGAAGCTGTCATGGCACATATAATGAAAGAATACCTCCGACCACAGCATCTTTGCAGATCTTACACTCAAAGTTAGATGTTATTGAAATAAACCAAATATTCCTGGAATGAGTATTTCTGGAAAGTGTCTACCATGAATCAGGCTGTTGTAGAGTGTTAGCTTGTAAATGACAGGTCCAGCTTCTCAGAAAATAACAGGTGGAAGACTCAATAACTTCACAGTTTGAGGTTTTAAAAGGCCACTTAAAGTATTGCAAAGAGATAAATGTTTATCATTGCCAAAAAATCCTTTTAAAAATACAAAGGTAAAAGAAAGTGATCTATTTTTCATCAGCAGCATAGCATACCATAATAAAAGACTTCTCAGATATTCATTTGGGAAGTTGATGAAACATTATCAACCAGATATAGTAGTGTTTGTGGGCAGATAATACCCTGGGACCAGGTATATGTGAACATCCTTTTTTTAATGAATGATAAAGGCATGAAATTCAGTAAGACTTTAAAATCTGCCTGGTACAAGTGTTGAACTTTAAAGTAATGTTACTCTCTCTCAAACTATTTTTCATACCACAGTAGGCCCAATTAATAAGGCCTAAAACCTGAGTTGCAAATTGATCTATGAATCTGCTATTGGGATAGTTAGAATTGACTGCAAGCTGTGGTATGGGAGTGAATTAAAGTGTAATTTCATTGACAGATTTCTTTGCACATCTTTTACATGGCAAGGGTCCTTATTGTTATGAAGAAATTTTTAATTACAGAACGTGTCAGAGGAAGACCAACCTGAGATTGAGAAAGAAAGGAATGACAGAGGGGGAAAAAACTCAATCTTGCTTCTGTGTTGTCCAAAGGAGCTTTTTCCTTATTCTGCCAGCCACAGGGACCTTCAGTTCTCAACATGGGTGCCAATTAAGAAGTGACTAAATACGGTGGCCCATTCATCAGTTATTAAGATTAGGCCATAATCATGAGGTAATAATCTGACTGTCACATTACACGGAAACCATTTTACTTTAAATTGCATCGTCCATAGGATCTAGTGTGTCGTTTCTTCATCTGATTCTAAGATTTGTGATACTTCTTGAGACTGAATTAAAGAATAAGTGACAAGGAGTAGATTGTGACTCTTCCCCGCCCCCATTAGAAATACTGTTTACTACCATGCCCCTTTCCCAGGTGCAAGTTAACCCATTTGGAATTTAGTTGAATACTATGTTTTGGTTTTGCTGAGCATCAACATGCTGCAGTTCCTCCAGCTCATTCTGCGTGGTCATTAAAGTCATTCTCAGGATCAAGAAAGGAAAGCAAATACCTGCCTCGATTTCTGCTTCATTGATATGTTTTGACAGACTGTTACAAACAAGCTAGCTAATCTGGACACTAAACTCTGCAGATGTTTCCCTGGCAATAATGTACAGGAATGAGTGATCTTGCAATGCACCCAGTTAGCTCATACATCGAGCCTGACCCACTGCTCTGAAGGATTTGTGCTTCCCTGGTGTGGTGGCTGTGAGAAAATAAGTCATTGTGCAGAGGTAGTTTTTAAATCAGAATTTACAGATAGAAACAGGAGAAGAGCTTAACTCTGGAATTTTTAGTATGCGTTCTCTTACATCTAAAACTTACGGTAAAGAAAATCCCCAGCCATTGCTTGTCTCCGATTTCTCTCGTTGTGTAGTGGCTCTTAAAATTACCTTTAAGAAAAATCAAGTGGAAAGAAAGAAACGCTTTGTAAATAAGGCTTGGCTTTCATAGAAAATTGTTTAAAGGTTATGTTAAAAGGATTTAAGTTCACCAGAAGTGTAATAACGGAAATGTGGAAAATACAGTGGGTAAAGGAAACTACCTCATTCTTAGAAGGTTTTATAGAAGCACAATTAAACATTCTAAAATGGCTTTGTACACATGAACCATCTGGTGTGAAAGAACTCTATATTTATAATGTCTAAAGGACCTGGAATAATTGTATTTTGCTGGCAATAGACACATTCTTATTGTTTGCAGGTTCCTCATCAAATCTTTAATTATGCACTGTTTCTGTCATCAATAAAACAACCTAAAAGGAATCCTCTTTGTATAGTCTCTTGAAATTGGCATTGTTGAATGTATAATATTTAATTACCATTTTTATGATGTTCCAAGGTTTTTCGTCATGGGATGTAAATGTAATTGGTATTTTCAAACTAAAATAACATTGAGAAAATGAATTGTGCATCCCAGAAAGATGTGAGATCATACACCCGGATAGAGTCTAAATATGTGTCCAGTTTTTCAAACATTTGGGTAAGAAATAACAATGGGCATTTACAAATTGCACTTTCCCTCTCCAGGCATGGGTCTGTCTTTAGTAAAATTCAGCTTTGTCCTTTGAATTTTATGCACAGAATAATGGGAATAGGTTACTTCATCCTGTTCTCTGTCACAATGCTTCTACCTCACCGATAGAGTAATGCCCTATGTGGCCAACTAGCTTTAGAATAAAAGACACCATATAAAGTGAAAGGCATTCAATTTAAACTTACGAACATCAATGGTATGTCTTTTTATCAAACCAGGCCTTGCATAATTTGCTCTCATTGGTGTGTATCTTTGAGAAAATAAAGCAAAATGCAACCTATCTCAGGGTCATATTCCATACACATTTCTGTGAATTGTCCCCATGATTACAAGCGTGCCAGACCTACAGGTTTTCAAGGAGTTATTGTGAACGGAACTTAAAAGTGTCCAAGTAACTCACTGACCCATTTCTTCTAACCCCATCAATCTGGGAAAAGATTGGCTTTTATTAGGAAGTTACGTGCAGTTTGGAAGGTCCAGGTGAAGGTTATTAGTCAAGTTCTCTTAGAGCGTCAGTGCCCAAATCCCACAAGAATGACAAGGATAGGGTGTCACTCCTGAGGGTGACGGTGTATGTCCCCTGGAGTTTGCATGATTTACCAGCTGAGACAGCAGTCTCCTTCAGGGCAGAAAGTATCCCTTCTGTATGAGTTTACTTACAAGCCAAAAAGGGGGAGGAAGGAAGGATTTTCAACCTTTATTATTATTTTTCTGCTAAGCTGATTCAGTTTGATCATAAGCATATTTTTTTAAATCAAGACTGATTCCACATGCATGTCATAGTTGCCTTACACCATGTTACTGTACCTTTAGATGAAATGTCCTGTTGTAGCCTGACTTTATAATGGTGATGATTACATTCCTGTAGCCAAAAATCTCACAGCCTAGATGTAGGTGTGCCTCATGTGTATGCGGAACAATCCCTGGGCTCGCTCTCCAGCTGTGTGCCACAGGGACAGTGTGAATCGAACCCCATGGTCATTCTCTCCAAAGATCTTTGCCCCTAAGTCAATAGGCATTTCGAAAAATCTATGCGTTTCACTCGTGAAAAAATTTTAGGGTTACAAGATTCAGGCTGATTGTGCCCCTATAATGCAGTCTACCTATTTTTAAACTGAATTGATTAAATCAAAAAGAGGCAATTAAACTGCATTTGTTTTAAAGACAGCTGCAATCTAGTAAACACCTCTCTTCAATATTCATGACAAGCATAAATAGAGGTAGTAGATGCTTTGATCTCTGGCTTCTTCCAAGCCATGGCTGGATAAAACAAAACCTCTTTCTTAACGTGCAGTTTGCCTAATATTTAAGACAATGGTTAAGAGCCATCAAATGACCCTGTGATCTTAAACCAGTTACTTACATTGTTTAATTAAACCTGTTACTTAGTTACTATCATAACAGTACCAACTTCATGGGACTAATTAATTACTTTTGCAAAGCATTTTTAACAGTTTATGTGTATGGTATAAGCTGATGGAATTTTATTAAAAATAAATGAATGAGCCCCAAGACAGGGACTAAGGTTACATTACTGAATGAAGAAGCTGTGTTGGTCAGCTCCTCCTAAGCTGGTGGAGATAGTGGAAGTTTCTAGATCCAGAGCACAAATTCTTGCCACAGAACATGTGGCATAATCCAGTTTATGCAAACTGCTTATGGTGAGTTAGAAGTCTGTGATCTGCTCAAATCTGGAGCTAAAGCCAGGGCTCAATTAAAGGAATGATTGATAAAATTATTGAGAAGTAATTTGATGTCTTTAGCTTTTAGAAATACAAGTTAAGTTTCATGTTCCCCATGCGTACAACTGTGACAGTCAATTTTATGCACCAGATTTGGCTAGGCTATGGTGCTGTTATTTGGCCAACCACCAATCCAGATATTGCTGTGCAGAAAGTATTTTTTAGGTGTGATTAACATTTAAATTGATATAATTAGAATAAAGCAGATTATGCTTCCTAATGTGGATGGGCCTGATCCAATCAGCTGAAGGCCTTAAGTTTCCTGAAGGAGAAGGAATTTAATTTTAAGACTGCAACACAGAAACCCTGCCTGAGTCAACAGTCTGCCTGGCCTGCCATGCAGATTTCAGATTCAAAACTGAGCCATCAACTTTTACTTGAATTCCTGCTTGTTGGCTTGACCTGTGGAATTTGGACTTGCAGAGCCAATTCCTTGAAATAAATACCTCTGTCTTTTATAGATATAGATGATATAGCCAAAGCTATAGATACAAATGATATGGATATAGGTATAGATGTAAATGAGCAGATATATAGATATACATTGTATAGGTTCCGTATATATTGGTTCTGTTTCTCTCTGGAATCCTAATACAGCAGCAAACAAGATTCTTAACATGCTTACAGTTTCCTCTTCTGAGAAAAAAATTATGTCCTGTAATTATTCCCTTTTGACTCAGGTGTCTAACCTAAGGCATGTCAAGAATTCAGAAAACTGCTGATCACATAAGGCACCAACGATAATTTGTTCTAATTGCAAACATAGTGCTTAAGAGAAAATAAGAATTCCTGGTCTAGCAAAGCTGCACAACTCAATCAAATACATCACCAGTGAAATGTCGGGCGTTGGTGAGGGGAAGTATTTCTGAGTGTCCGGCCGTCAGATGCCCCATAAAATACTGTTACCTTAGTGTTTCTGGCCTGACTGTATGCCCTGAGCACCCAGTGTGGCCAAATGTAGATGGAAAGAACTTCCTTTTTGGTATGAAGGGGCAGGGTTATTTTGGAGGATAAGGTAATCATCAGCCAACCTGATGATAAAACTCGGCTTCATGAATTTCCTCACGTAGGGACACAATCACCACGGAAGTCACCTGGACCTTGCTGACTTCCCATAGCATGACAGCCACATGCACCCTCATGCTTACTGAGGTTTCACTCCCACATTCAATTTAAGGAATCATTTTCTACTCACTTGGATTGTTATTTACCTCTCTTTCCCATATATTAAAGTTATATTTTGGGAGACAATTTTTGTAAACTCCTGAGTATAGAGAAGAAATCTGCTTCTCCGGTGAGATTTGACAAGGCAGTTTAAGAGGCAATCAGAAGCCAAATGAGGTCAAGGGATGGGGACAGAGTAGCTGTTGACCAGCTGGGCTGCACTCACAGAAGAGAAGGTGATTCCCCATTTCCTGTGAGAAGGAACAGTATTTTCCTGGGGCTTGCTCTTCTCATAATCGCAAGGTTAATGTTGCACTTTTTGCTGGAGTATCCCCCACCCAATCCCAGTTTAAGGCAAACTTTGTTGAATGTCAGTAATCCTTCCGATTCTACTGAACAGTTACTCCCTTTGCTAATCACTGATTTGAATGGCTAGTATTCAGTCCAGTGTCCAAAAGCCACAGACAATTCTTCTTTATGCTTCCCCTTCCATCTAGGTCACTCTGAGGACCTGCCATCACTCATGGCAATGTTTGCCTCTCCCACTCGGCTAGTAAATCTTCAAAGGATTGCATCGTACACATTCTCCTCTCATCCCAGAGCAAAACTCTTTAATCACACATAAGTAGTATGCATGAGCACGCCGTGTAGTGCCTACCGTCTAGTAGGTACACGATATTTGGCAGCTCCACGCCTTCCTTTCTTGAAGGACCACTTAGCATCAAGTAATCCAGGCTTCTTGTCTGCAGGCTCAATCTCACCCAGTTTCTGAGTTAACTGGAAGCAGGTCTCACAGTGCATTAACAGCAGAGGTTCAAGGTCATGAAGTCAGCTTTGCCTCCCTCGTCCCAGCATCTGATGTCTTGGGTGACCCTCTGGATTCCACCGCACTTCTTCCTACCGCTCAACCTGCATGTCCATCCATCCTGATGAACTGGATTTCTGCCCTGATACAGTTCTTCTCTGCTCACAGCCTCAGCCCGTTTGGCAGGGCCCCAGCCACCTTCTCAAGCCTGGACTTTGTCTCCTCTCACCCAGACACAGACGGATGCAGTTTCAATCTAGATCGACACCTTTGGAATAAAATCACTGTCTCCTGCTCAGTTATGTCTGTTGCTAGACCTGCCTCAACCAGACTGTAACTCTTAGTTACCGAAAATGGCTTTGAATAGACCTGAGTTTGCCATTGTAATACTGGGGGCGGGGGGGAATTGCAGGGAAGAATACCTTTGAAACCGAAATCAGTCAAAGGGAGACGTAAAGTGGGAGAAACTCATTTATTTCTACTAGCAGTTGCCCACTTCTGTTCTCCCATGTCTCTCACAAACCAGCTGCAAAGAAGGGACCCCGACCAGCCTCTACAGTCCACATATGCCCTTGCTGGCCTCATAATTACCTATTGATATGGAGATAGACTACTTCTCTCCACCCCTTGGAAACACCTGTTGATATGGAGATACACTAAGGCCAGGCAAGTGAATCTGGAAATACTGCAATTTTACCCACAGCCATGTGGTGAATTGGGCTGATCTCTACCTCCTCCACAGGAAAGAGGCTTTCTTGGAGCTGCTTTTGTCCGCTGGCTTGCTCTTGAGGTCACAGCTTGCAAGAGCTTCCTCTTGGACCAGAGAGACGTAACCGTTTAGCATTGAAAATTATCCTAGCTTCCCGTTGCCTGGGCTGCATTATTTAATTTCATTTAATTACTTTTTATTTTCAGGGAGTGTTTTTTCAAATCTAAAATAGCAACTGTTGGGTGAGCTTAGAAGTTATCTAAAACATTGCTACTCAAAGCATCATTACCAGACCAGAGGCATCGGAAT